GATCCTAGGCAAGTGGCGTGCATCTGTTACATTCTCGCTATAGCGAGAGACTTCTCGCTGTACCGAGAGGGCAACAGAGAGGGTATTTTTTGGGTGCAATCTTGCTATAGCAATAGGATCATGCTGTAGCGAGATTATACAAAAATCAGAGTGCAGTTTGGTCTAATATTTTCACTGTAGCGAAAAGGAGTCTCGCTGCAGCGAGAATATCGCGACTCCTAGGGTATTTGAAGGGTTTAGGGTTCGAGAAAACATAACTTCTCATTTCCTCTTCATCTTTCTTTCGATTCTCTCGATCTCCAACTCATTTTCACTGATTATATTACCTCCAAAAGCCGTTTGTGCGTTAGATTGAAGGTTGGAATCGCTTTTGGAATGTTTGAAGGACAAAAAACTATGTGGGGAGTATTTCCATTGTTGATTTCGTGTTGGGTCTTCAATCTGAGGTAAGAGGGGGACTCTACCCTATTTCATTGTGTATAAAATCCGTTTATTTTGCTATGTATTGCAATGTAGTTGAGATAGAACATAGGAAAACGTGTGGAATGATAGAAATTCATTGTAATCATAATGTGATGGATGTTGGATGTTATGTGTGTGATAGAGTGACTTGATTGCAATAAGATTGTGATAGAAATTGGGGGTTTGAATGTAATGTGATTGAATATGTGTGTGCATTCCATGAACACTATGAATAATTGAGAATATGGGTAAAAGTGTGTGGAAATGGCATATTAATTGTGATTGTGATTGTGTTTGAAATGGTTGGAAACTATGAATTGTTACAGCGATACACTTGGAGTGTGAAAGATGAGAGCGGTAGAAATATCTTGGAGAAAAGAGGGTGGTGATGACACCAACAGTGAGCGTACAGGCTACACATTCTCCTCCTGACTCGGCCTCTGACTAACACCTTTGCTAAGGGTCTCGTAACTGCACACATTGTATCCGTGAGACGGGGCAAACCGGTGACCATCTATGGTGTGAAACTGAGTAAGTCCTTGAGGTTAAGAGTATCAGAAAATTGTGGTTACAGTGCCACAATGAGCATGACTAACGTGTAGTGAGCGCACGTGAGTGTTGTATATGGATTGTTTGATGGTACAGTGAGCGCACCTATCTGTGAATTGAAGTAGAATGTTAAAAAGTATTACTTTGTGTTTGTTTGATGCATGATTTGAATTATGTTAGTAAATGGGTGAAACGTGCAAGGTGAGTCTCTGTGCTTATGTGTGATAGTGTAGAGTACTCACCTTTACATTTATTTTTCAAGCGACCAAGACGATCAGCACCTGACTCAGTGAAGGAGATGGATGAAACTGCTATAGGACTTAAGAAATTATTCTTTTGAAATTATGATATATTAATTAAGTCATGTAGCAATGATTTGATTCAAACTTGTAATCCATCCTTATTTTGAAATACTTTATGAAAACAATTGCTTGAAGTTATTGAAATGAAATTTTTATGATTATCTCCTTTTAACTTGCGAAAAATAATTTTACTCGAAAATGATTATTTGAAAATAGCTAAGGTGTTACAGATCTCAACTTTAAAATCTCTAACTCAAACTTCTACACAAAATAGCTAATGTGTTGCAGAATTGGGATAAAATCTAAAACTCTAAACTATTTACACAATTATGAATATAAATGTAATTTTATAGTATTTTCAGGTTTATGGATTATTTAACTATTTATGTACTACTAAAAACTAAGCTAAAAATGTAGTAAAATGTATGATTTATCAACGACTAAAATCATGTCATCAATATTTTTGGTGTGGAAATAAATTGTTCATTAGGACTTAAGTTATTTTAATTCTTTTATAAATTATGTATATGATGTATTTTTGGAATCATAATTTATAATTATCAAACTCTTGTACGTTAACGAAAGTTAATATATGTTTATTTTCCTGCCGTCGAAGTATAAATTTATTTTGTAAAGTTCAATGGATTGATAGAAATTTATCTTTCATCATTTTAAATCATTATGTAATTTGTAAACCAAATAGTAATAAAAGTATAAGTTTTAAATTTTTGTCAAATTCTTACATCACAAATATAAATAAAATGTATTTATTTCTTATTTTTTGTTTAAATTATTTCACCAATTATATAAATAAATAACGATGTTACATGTATTAAGAACGAAAAATTTAAGTATGTTTATATCATAATTAAAATATATTTTTTTAAAAATCAACTTTAATATATTTCAATTTCTATTCATACTTAACTATATAACAATATAAGAAAATGGTACGTGAATTGAAAATAAAAAAATTTAAAAATTATTAATGTTTAATTATATAATTAAGGAATATTAATAATAAATTTTATTGATTAAAATTTATTTAAAATTATAAAATTACAAAAAAAATTAGTTTAAGAGAAAGAAAAAATAAAACGTATGTTATTTTTATAATTTTCAATAAATTTTTGTGAATAGATTAGATAGTATATTGTTACTATTCTTCTTATACGATTAGGAGGGTAGATTGGTCCCATTCACATGTTTTAAATATTTTTCTCTATAGTTTGATGTTAAAACTCTATTACAATTTTGAATAATTCAAATTCATATGTAATCTGAAGCAGAATGTTTATCCTTTGTAAATCCAATATTCGGACGTTGGTACTAAGCTTTTTTTAAAGAAGAAAGAAAGAACAGAGTGATCCTTCTGTGTTATAAATCCAATATTTAAGGAAGGATGGATCCAAATTTTGACTTTAGCTTTTATTTGTTTCCGTCATTGGTGTGAGCATTGGGGTCCCAATTTTGATTTTAATATTACTTATTAAACTCTAACAAATTGCGAAAAGAAAATAGGGCAAAAGGAACTGCTTAGATTCTATATATCACATTCGTACATATATTAAGTATATTTTTTCGAAAACATCTATTATTCACGGAAAGAAATTATATTTGAACTGAATTAGACAAGTGTAGACAATAAAATTTTTTCTTTAAATATTCAAACTCAAGATTACGAATAAAATTAAAATAATCTCACAGCAATTGACTCACACAGTTGGTGGTCACGTATATTTAGTTCTTAAAATAAGGTTTAAGGCTACAACATTAAAATAAATAAATAAATAAATCTAGCACATTCTCTTAAAAATTGACAAAAGAGAACTGTCCAAGTCTAACATAAACATTCTAATTGTATTCCTAACCTTTTGGTCCTTGCGGACAGGTAATGTGAAAAGCCACCAATGGTCCCTTAATTGAGTTACTACATTAATCTACGACAACGTCAAATTCCATTTTGTCAAAATCGCACGAAAGCTTCCACGTTGCCTTGAGCCTGGCTTTTGTGACACAGCAAATTATATCTTTTTTCCCAGCACTTTCTCCACTATAGTATCCATCCATGACAAACATACATTGCTTGTCGTCTAAAATTTTGTAGTGTTTTTTGGTTACAAGGAAAGGGAGATATATTTTTTTTGTATAACAAAAATGAAAAGTAAATTACAAATTTTAAGAAAAATTAATTACATGTGATATTAAAAATAATATTTATTATTTGACCTTCAAATAACAAAATTGTATAATTATTACAATACTGTAATGTTAGCTCATACGACATGTCTTTTAAATTTAAAATCTCATGTCTAGTCAATAAAATAAAGAAGAAAAATTAAGATATTATCCACACACCTATATATGTAACCAACAAATTATCAATTTTTATATTTTAACTTTTTAATTGATGATTATAACTACTTCTATTTTAAAATATATATTTAAATTTAATGCTATGTGAAGATGTGTAAAGAAAATGAAAGGGAAGATAATAAAGAAAAAAATGAGTTAATGTTTATGTTATTTGGATGAATGGAAAAGTAGAATGAAAATGTGTATTATATACTTAATTACTATTTTACCCCTTATATGAATGCTTGTTAGCCAAAATATAAAAAGAAAAAGGCCTTTGCATAAAACCTTCACCCTGTTTTTGCGGCCATGGCCTTTTGTTGTGATCGACACATGTGGAGTCAACTATTTTTCTTCTTTTGCCACCCTTTTCTTTTACAAACCTGAGGTTTCCAAAATCTATTGAACCAAATATAGTGAGTGTAAGAGAATTATACGTTGAAATTCATCCACTAAAACAAACGACGCTAATTTATATGTAAAATTTTGTGTGTACCACTATTATTTTCTATCCATGACAGGATCTACTTGAAACAACTTTATAATCAACTTAAACACTCCAGGGCATTTGGATACCACCGACAAACTTTGTAACATATTTAATTAGCCCAAGTCTAGAAGATTAATTAAGACCCAAAAAAATGTTAGTAATAATCTATTCATTTTTAATAAATTTACTCCACAATATAATTTTAAATTTAACTAAAAATAAATATATTCTTAGTTCTTATAAAAACTATGTTCTTTTCAACTCCTTCTGATGTGTCATTAAAGCATTGATTAAATATTAATAAGTATATATTTTTTATTAAAATTTTTTTACTAATTATTCTTAAGACAATACTTAAGAAAATAAAGGTGAAAAGTTTTTATTGAAAAGCTTGACATTTAATTGGTATTAATACATTTCTATTGTAATTTATAGAAAAGAAAGAAATCTTTTAAGTATTACCTGGAAATTGATATTAAAAATTCTAATAAACATATATTAACAAAATTAAATATTACAATTTTTTTATTTTTAAAATAATGACTACTAATTTAAAAGAATGACGCGGTAGTGTAAAAACTTATTATATTCACATGTATGAAATTAATTTATTTTACAAAAAGTCATATATTCAAATCCTATCATATGCAAATTCTCTCTCAGAAGCACGAGCAAAGTTTATCCTTTGAAAGATTAATATTGAATTCTTTGAATTTAAAAATCCCTCATACTCCGAACTTTAAAAGAAAAAGAAAATAGTGCCCACTCATCAACATTCTCCAGTTTTAAATTTAAATATGGCCCAAATCATAAAACGTTTCTAACTAGCTAGTTTCACCCCGTCATGTAATTTCAGGGACCCATCAATTATTGGAAGCTGACCCTTCTGTATTGTGTTTAGCAATAATTCAAAAACCTGTCAGCATCGCAAATTTGAATGCCCCACCAATAATCCATCTGCAGAAAAGTACAAAATTAATAAAAATGATGGGTTGGTTTACACTCAACCTCCTTCCGGTTTCCCTTTCACACACAACCACGGGATAACAAATCTAGTATTAACTGGCCAATGACTTGTTTACTTCCCAGCTCAGCTGGACCAAGAAAATAATATTATATTCACAAATAAATTTATTATTTGAATCACTTAAAATTAAGGTTATATACCATTCCTTCTATTTTAGTATACACGCATTTAAAAAAATACAACTTTAAAGTAAAAGAGCACCTATAAATATCCCCTTAATGGTAAAAAAAGCGCTTTCTAAATTTTCTTTTGGGAGTGGGTGAGGGAAATGCAATTCTTTAATGGGCAAAGTTAACTATCTCAGTTTGTTGCCAAGACATCACAGCAAACCATTCATCTTTCTCCTATTTCCCTCAAGTTATGCCTCAAAACATAGCGTGTGCTTCAGCGGATGTAGAATCCACTGTTGGAGAATATTGATATAGAATCCACCAACAGTTTATGTTAGTGGAAGATCAACGCTTCAGCTGATCCTTCTTGCAATTGCCAGTGAGTATAGTGTGTGCTTTCGTTGTGAGGATAAGATAGAGAGAGAAAGGAGAAATAGGGGGACCCGGGCACATGGTTGCTTCAAAGGGAGAGGCAATAAAAGCTTATGTCATAACGACCAATTTTAATAAGTCATTAATAAGATACAACTTATATCAGCCAATGTTGAGCTCTCCCTCATATCAGCACGAAGACCCAGATTGACTATGTTGAATCAAGTGCACCACATACGAATCATTTTAACCAAATGAAACGTCAAAAATAGTAACCATACCATGTAGGTTTATATCTTCTTATTCTTAGTTACGTGTATCATAAGATTTGAACACAGAATGTACCTAACCTTATCTTTCTATAAATGCTGAAGCTCCAAGGGAAAAGAATATCTTGGTCATGACAAGAACGCAAAACAGGTTTCAAAACACCCAAATGTGAAGAAACCATTAAATTTGAAATTTCAAATGCCTAGTAGCAGAACGAGTTCATGATCATCATATATATATATACAAAGGAAAAGAAAAAACAAATAAAATGGCAAGAATAGTGAGACATAGAGAAATAAACAGATGGGTCTTTATTAACTTGACTAACACCCAAAACAATCCACTTACATACAAGAAAACACATTATTCTCACACTGATCAATCTAAGGAATGGCTAAGAATTTCAGATAAAAATCTCAAAACAGAGGTCTTACAGAGTAGAACCAGGCCGTGTCTTTCAGATAGCAGCCATCTCTGAATCAACCAAGACCGCGCCAAATTGAAGGAGAGAGCGAGGCAGCATAGCTTAGCTCACAAAGACATTAGATGGACCACAATCCCTCAATGATGCCCAATAACATGAATTCTCAATCAGTATTGGAAAGGTTGCTCCAAGAATATGGGAGTGACAGCCGATAATGAGATACACAATCACTCATGACTCAACCTAATGCTATGAAGACTAACTAATCACTTTTAGTGACCCAATTTGGAATTTGGAAAGTGAGAGTTAGTCAACTTCAAAAACCAAAACCCTTTTGAGAGTGAAACAGATGCAACAAGCTCAATCTCTCTTCAATCACCTTGGAGCGTGACTCTTTGCACAATAACATCATTAAATTAATTTCATTCCATTAAAACTTGCATTTGCAAATTTGCAAAACGATCGATCAAGGTTCTGAAAACCACTTCCAGCCTCAATCCCAAGTTATTCATCTCATCTCATCATCAAAATCATACATACTCTCTCTCCTCCACCAATGATCTAAACAAATTCATCATCTCCTAACAACCTAATTAGTTTTCCAATCCAGGAAAACCCTAATCCAATTGAATTCCTCAATTCATGGACTTCTCCACTCAAAACTACTAAAAAAAAATTAGGAACACCTATCCCTAAAAATTTCACTAAGAATCTTCTCCTTGTCCGCAGTCCACACACAACAACAAAGTCACAGACAAAAACACACATACACACGCGTAATACATAAATATATACGAAAAGGGAAGAACACCGCCTAAGCCATCGCAATTCAACAATCAACGAGGCTCGTCGTCTCGCCGGCCGGAATTCCCGTGGCCGCCGGACAACGACGCCAGCAAATTCAGATGACCGGGAAGGTAATTCCCCAGCCTCGCCGCAGAAGCCTCTCCCATGGCGGCTTGTTGCTGCTGCTGTTGCTGATGGTGATGTTGGTGGAACATCGAACCATGCTGTTGCGTCGACACCGAAACGAGTTCCGGTGGCGCTGCGGCTGCGGCGGCGGCGGCGAAGCTCCAGACTTGGCCGAAATCGGGCCTGGAAGGAAGGGCCCAAAGAGCGTGCGGCGTGGGAGACCCAACGAGCGAAACGGCGTCGTCTTTGGCGGCTGCGTCGTCGTCCGGGCGTATGCGTTTTCCGAGAATGAAGGGAGTGGGAGGAGGAAGCAGTGGCTTGTGGTCGGAGACAGTGGAGAAGCTCGCCGGAGTCGTGCCGGTGCCGGTTGCGGCGATGATGGAGGGTTCAGCTTGCCGGAGAAGCCACTCGATGGTTTGACCGTCGGACTTGTGCCCTAACTCACGTGTCAGCTGGAAAACACGTGCGGCGCATATGATCGGCATCCGAATGCGGCGTCCTCTTCCGTCGACCTTGCTGTGACGGTCCTTCGACGGCGGTTTTTTCACGGCTAGGGCGTTTGACTGCTGGCTGTTCCGCTGCGACTCGACGATTGCGCCGTTGCTGCTGACGCCGTTAGTTGCTCCGTCAGAGTTAGACATGGTTTAAGAAAATAACAGTATTAGTAGTATAGTTTGGGTTGGTGAGAGAGAACTAAAGAGGGTTTTGTTATGGTTCGTGAGATTGAGAAGAGAAGAGAAGAGAAGAGAAGAGAAGAGTGAGGGTGCAGTAAGGTTAATGATTGAGTGAGAAACAGGAGGTGGTGGAGACTGAAGGGATGCACATGGGTTGTGGGCCCCAGTACTCACACCCCACAGCTCATACCCCTCTATCCTCCCTTTCCCTATTCTACCCTCTCCACTTCTACCCCACGCGCCCCCCAAACACACTCTCATTATTATTATTTTAATGTTTTGATTACAGCGATAGTATCTTAATAACAATGTGTAGGTTGTCACATTTTAATTAGTCTGCTTCAAATCACAGAACGAATCTTGCGAATCTCTTAATTCCAACATAAATAGCCAACTCTGAATGAATATGAAATTGTGCAAGCAATGGGCATAGGACTGTGTTTTAGTCTGAACAAGAATAAGGGACGCGCTGAAGGGGAAATGGGGTTGGGACTTGGGCAAGGGACCCCATTCCCTTTCCGTACTTCTTCGTTAGCGAGTGCAACTTTCTTGTTATCTCCAGCTACGTCTCATTATCCACTCTCCTTTTGCCACCTCTGCCTCCTGCAAGCTCCAACATAAGTATCAAAACATTTTTTTTTAAATTATATCTTTATTATTAAAATATTTTTGTTTTTTTTTTAATAATCTTACACAAAAAATCACCGCGCAGTCATGCACCATGCACTCCCATGTCACAACATTCCGGACATGTTTTTTGTCTTTTCTTTACCAATTTACCCTCCTATTTACGCCAATTTATCAGCATCTTGTATTTTAATCGTGTAATTTAAGGTAAAATTTCATTATTGTATAAAGAAAATATTTAACTTATCATCTTTTATACATTCTCACGTTAAGTTCTTTCCTGTGAAGTTTTTTATTCAGGTATGCCATAAATATTTATGCCAGAATTTAGAAATATTTATCACTATAATTTAGGCTTTAATACAAATGCATTTAATTTGAGTTTAGATAGGGTTAAGTTTTAGAGAATTTGAACTTAAAAAATATTGCATCAATTTTTTTATAGAGTAATTAGTTTCTTTCGTTCCCAACATTCTTTATTTTAAAATCTTTGTTCAAATAAAGTAATTAAATTCCTTTATTTTACACTCTCTTTTTCTTAATAAATTATTTAAATAGGGTCATTAAATTAATTTTATTCTTAAAATAAAACTTGCAACTTTGTTTGACAAAAGAAATTGATAGCTAAGAAGCATAGATGAAACAACAAGACCAGGCTTTCTAACTTTATGCAGCTGGTTTGATAGCAAAACTGAATATCGCAATGAAACATGGGCTACACATAGCTCTACCACCAGAAGAACCTTCAAGAACCATTCCTTTCAGAGACAAAGAGACAATGGCATGTTTCGTTGCTTCCTCAATTGATTTTGACAAGTACTCTAAAGCTCTATTACAACATGGAGATCTTATAAGAGCCACAAAGTCGAAATAAGCCATTATAGACATCTAAAGAATCATACCCACCTCCCCACCAGCATTTTCGTGAGATATAGCTCTAGGGGCACTCAATGCATTCATATATGTGCTTCAATGCTCACATTAGGTAAGGTGAAAAAGAACTTAAGCCACTTAACATAACGTTGGAATTAGAGTTGAAATTCCAACAATGAGCCTTAGTTTATAGGTTTCCTCTGCAGTTGATAAATGATTTAGTACATGAAGGCTCATCTTGACTACTAGATCCTTATGCCTTGTTCATTAATATAATAACTAGTAAACTTGATCTAGATAACGAACTACTAATTTCACTCAATCAATCACGATACCAAAGTAGGAAAAATGTTTTTATTATTTTTTTTATTGTGACAATTTATGATGCTATAAAGTAGGAAATTTATTCAGCACAACTATATTAATATCAATTTTGATTCTTAAATATTCTGATAATGTTAATACCCATTTAACATAGGTTATCTCTCTCCTTACCGAACAAAATATTGGTAATTTTTGTACAAAATTTTCACTTAACAATCTTTATATTCCAAAATAAATAATTTGCAATATTTTCTTGCACCGAATACTCAAATGTGATAACTTGAAGTTCCTACTAACTATTACACACACACACACACATCATTTTTTTAGTTTCATTTTAAAAAATGTGATTCTTTTATACAATTATACATAATAAATTATTTTAAATCACATCTCATCACTTGACAATTTAAAACATAAAACTTATTTTGTATAATCAATTATCACAATCATTAGGTATCAAATAATTTTTTTCAGCTAATCCAAATTCACGCTAAATCTCGAGTGCTAGCTAGTTTAAATTTGGGCCTTCAATGACTTTCGCAAACAAGTTTAAAAGGGTGTAGATCAACAAAATCAAGATGTCATGCGATATAGCTTCAAAGGGTATATATGTGTGTACATCAGAAAAAATATGAACAGCCATATATACACATAACGGATTGCTAAAACAAGGTAAGAATGAGAGGGAAAACATAACAGGAAATAACTAATAAGTGACTAACAAACAGTTTTGATAAAAAATTATAAATTAAGCAGGCGTTTAATTAAGCCATGTATGGAAACACACCATGACAAAAAACATCGATAGTTTCTGCACAAATTTTTAACTAGAGTACCCACTAGAATTGAACTTTTGAACAACAATGAACAGAAAGTATGTTAGATCCCATTTGTAAACATTTTTTTGTTTAATATATACTAAGCCAAAATGAAAGGTTTCTAACGACATGAGTTTTGCTTTTCGGATTTGTTTCTGTCAACGGATAAGTTGTTTTTTAAAACTAATGTATTATGAAAACTTCTAATTAATAATTGACAGCAAAGAACTTGATCATGCATTCACAGCTAATGATATACGCACGGTTGAATTGCCATCGTCGAGCAGGTGGTGACGAATATAATGAAAACTAATTCAAAGAATGAAAAGAATTATTAATTTCTAATTTCAAAGAATGAACCAATCATTTTCTCTCCATAAGCAATAAAACAAAAAGACAAAACATATCGTGACCCTTAGTCGCTACTAAATATAAACTGTTTTAATTCTAACTTCCCAATTTGGAGATGGAAATGTCAAATGCGCACTTCTTAATGAATTTCCAACTGTGGTATTTAAATACACTTAATTTGACCAGGCTCAACTGTGTAAACAGTTATTACAAAGTTGAAAGAATGAATCAATTGGTAATAGTTTTGTCCCAAAACAATAAAGAAATGAAAAGAATGCAGCAGAGGTTAATTGACAAAGGTGCAATGCCTTCTGATCTCACCATCGGAGCCAGTCAGCACTTGTATCGAACCCATGTGGACCATTGCCTGTGCAAACTTGGCAGCCCAACTTGGAGCATAATTAGCATTGGTCAGAACCATTTCCTTTGTGGATTGGGTGTTCAACAACGTTTGATCGGATGTCAACAAGCCACGGTGGTTAATGAATCCCTCGTAGTAGTTGTTGTCCAAACGAATAGGAGAGGAAGCATCAAGAGGCATTGTTGGGTCTGTGTTGCTTGGTGGTGAAGGACACTTTGTTTTCAACGTTGCAGCATATGAGGGGTCCATTGAGGGGTCTTGTGTAAACGTGTCATTGAAAGAGTATAAGCGTTTTGAGAACGAGGAACAATGCGATACACCTATTGAATGTGCACCTGAAAGGGTCACCATTTCATCTGCTGACAACCCCTTTTGTGCAAAATTGTTAACAAGTTCATCAGCGTTTAAGGTTGGTGCTGGTAAATTTTGTGGCACTTCATCGCCAATAGAGACACGACCGTCTCTGCGTCCTGATGGCACGTCGTAGTTTATGCCACCCACTTTGAGAGCACTGTCTCGTGCTGCGAATGCAATAATGTCCGCACACGACACCGTTTGAGGACATGCAGCCTCTAATTGGTTCTTTGCATCCTCAATCACCTCGAACCCACGTAAGCTTGGGTTGTTGATTGGGTTGTCTCTCTCCGCAATTGGGTTGCCTGGTGCCGATGCCAGTAACACCGAAGCATCGCAGCCCTGTATGTGTAGCAAGGTTAGTTAGACACAGGTTTTCCATACACTCTCTGGCTGTGATGATTAATATTCATCTAACCATACATCTAGAAAATATCTTATGGTTCTAAATCAATTCTATCAAATTTTATATATGAGTAATTTGGAATTTTGAAGTGTGAACTTACCCTGACAAAGCAATCATGGAAATGCATTCTGATGAGACCAGCAGCTATGCCTGGGTTAACAGAAATTGCTGTGTTTACTGTGTTTCTCACTATTGTCTCAGCAGATGGACATGTGGAGCTATAGAAACCCACTTGCAGAGATGCTGAGGCCAACGATGAAACAGATAGAATCAGAGCCACGGTAGAGAGCATCATGTGTGGAGTAACATCCATTGATGGAACCGCAAAATGAAGGCACAGTACTATTTGCCTGTGTTTAATTAATCTGCTGAAGAAATTAAGCGCTCTGATATAAAGAGAGGACAAAGAAGAGAATTCGAGGTATTGTTTGATGTTGGGTACTGAGGGGATGAAGAGAATCTGTGCTGCCCGGAATATATTTATAGGTTGGGTAATATGGAGAGATTGATTGATCTAGTGGAGATGAGAGTGGGTCTTACTTTCGCAATATTAACTGATAATTTGGTTGAAGTTGTCTTTATTTGAATACTTCTTCTGGCTCCTTTGGAATGATCAAATGTTCATATAGTGTGGGACGAGTACTCTCTATGTTGCTATTTAAATATCATATAAATGATTGTCGGGGAATTTTTCTATTCTTTGGTAATTAAATTTATTAAGACATTAATCTTATACTTTTTCTTAACGTAGAAATAAAAGTAAAATGAAATGGTCAAGAATGCGCAAATACTATTATAATTTAATAATTAATTAATATTCTAATACCGATGTTGAAATGATGAGATTTATTTATTTGCAACTATACATACTGTTGCTTTTCCTTTTGTCGTATAATAAAATAATTCTAAGAACAAGTAAATATGTTCGGGTAGGAAAAAATAAACGCTAGACTTATTCGCGCGCGCTTGCGTGTGTGAGTGGAGAATTAGGTTATAATTAATCAAAATAAATTAGCAATAAATTTTATGATTTTACGTTATTAACAATCAATCAAATATGGATGATTATTTTTCTGGTAATGAGGAAAAGAAAAACAAAAAGACTTTTAAGCATGTTTTATCTTATTGATAAAATACTTTAAGGGTAGCATTTGGTTGGCCTAAGATTTTGAATTTAAAAAGTAATTTTAAAGATAAAATTGAAATAAAAAATTAAATTTACAACTAAAGATATTTGTTAATTTTGTAATTTTTAAGTTTAAAAGATATTGATAAGTTAAAATTGAATAAACAATTTTTTTTTTATCTTAAAATTTGAAATACATACATAAAAAATCTTGAAATAGATTGACCCGGTGGGTCAATTAACAGAGAACAATTCAACATGTTACAAATTGTATCAAATAATAAAGTAAGTGGATAGTATACATCGACATAGAGGACTAGAATCAATGTTTACCTACAAAGCAATTATTAATTGAAACAATGCTTCTATATCAATTTTGCAGAAAGTGAAAATTTAATATCATAAAAAGAGTTTGACAATCATTTAGAAATATAGAATTGAAATGAATATTGCAAACACATAAAGATAAAGGTAAATTAGAGCAATTCAATTGGTTATGAATAAGATTGTTTTTTATTCTCCTCCAATGTTCACAAGTATTTTTTAATATAGTAATTATAACTTGATTGAATTATTGAATATACTTAGTTGAGCCATAATTTCTTTCCAACTTTACTCTAATTTTTAATAATAAAAAAATATTAATTTGTTAGGTAAATGTGATAAAAAAAAATAGCATTGAGTAAGAATTAATAATGATCTTTCGTTATTTAATCATTTAGAATTCTTTCATTGAGGTACCTGCTCCAATTTTGAAATTTTCACCTCTTTAAATGCCACTTTTTTAAATCGTGAGAAATCTCTTGATTCGTGTAATTGAAGTGGTCAATTCTATGAAATATTAAGGAAATAAATAGATAATGCAACTATATCACAAAAATTACATTAAGGTTTTATAGAGACAGATTATAGAGTTCAAATTAAGATTTAATCATACGTAAGAAATTTAGCAAAATATAATAAAGAAAGAAGAAAAGAGAAGAGATGAGATGAAAGTGATGGAGAAATTCCTCTTGCTTTCAATAAATGTTTTATTTTCAATTCAAAGAAAGAAACTCAAAATTAGAATGATAAACTAAATTGTAAAAGTGAAAACTAAAATATGACGTTGATGCTATGTTTCATGCTCTAATTGTAACATTCTGTAGATAGTCAATGCTGGAACATTAAAATCAACTTTCCCAACTCGCACTTTCTAAATGCGTTTTAATGACTTGCAATGAAGACGTTCATAAATGTATGGGTGGGATTCGGCGGATTTGAAAGTACAAGCCCAAAATGAATGTAAATTGATACCATCCCTTCCACCCAGAGCTTGAACCATTCTGCATCTGTTGTTATTGTATTTGTAAGGTTAGTTACCTTTCAAAAACTTGCTCTCATAACGAATATAAATGAACAAAAAAAAACTAGCTCTCGGAATGTACTTGAAAGAATAATAAAAATGCAGAATAGTTGAACGTCCTCTTCCTAGCTTCTTTTCATAATCAACATTTAATATTATTTTATTTATATAAGGCATTCAATTTGATATAACGGGTGCAAGGCTCAAAGTAAAGCTACACTGCCATGTAATAGCTGTCCATCAAATCACGTAGCTTTGCGTTCCTTTTTTTTTTTCCTTTTGACTTTATCTAAAATTTTATTCTGGATCTATCCGTGTTTAGTGTTTTGCTGTAAAGTCCTTTAATTCATTTTACTTTATTTTATTGTATTCTTATTTTTTTTAAAAGAACAATAATAATTAAAATAATTATACTTAGAAGTTATTAAAATTAATCAAATGTAATATTTTTTATTTTATCATATTATTGAGTTCTTTTAATCTCATTCAACATTAATAATAAATTCTTTCAATTTTTATAATATTTTATTGTTCATATATTAATTATCATGTTGGTAATTTATTCTTTAAGATTATCATCTTTTGTTTTATTTATTGTATAATTGTAAGATGTTGATATTATTTACTTCCTTTTATTTCATAAATAGTAAATTATTGTTAATTATTTTTTTTTAAAAAAATAATACAATTACATCAATTTATAACATTAACGTGTAGCTTCTCTACCATCATGTGTTATAAATTGATAAAGTCTACGTGTACCTAACGTTACCGAGGCTTTAGGCAATATTGATTTATCATATGTTACCTTTAATTAATTAAAAAAATTATCTTAATAATCAATCAAAATATATTCTCTATAATTACTATTTTACTAATCAATCAATTAAAATTATTTTACTAACACAATAATTTATAATGCTAATGTGTAGCAACTCTACCTTTACGTGTTATAAATTATTAGAACCTACGTGTACCAATATTACCTTAGGTTCTATATAACATAAATTTATCAAACAAAGTTTTAATTTTTAATCAATTCAAATATATTTATTCTTTTCATTAAATAGAATTAATTTTATATTTTAAATTGTCTTAAGTCGTATTTCTAATTTTTTTAAAAATTAAATAACCAATCATTTCTTCATTTTACTATACAAATTTTTGCAACATCAATATGTGATTTACATTGCCTTTGATTGTCTAATAAATTATAAGAGATTAATGTATAGCTTATGCTATCTTTAATTCTCTTTTAACATTAATCATAATCAAAATTAAAATTCAAATACGTCATTTACAAATAAAATATTTTTTAACGATTTGCAGTATAGTTATGTGATCTTCCTTCACTTTCTATATTGTTTCTCGTAAGGTACATGTATAACTGCGTTATCTTGTATCCTAAACATTATAATTTTACGAAAATAATTTTAATTTCAAAATAAATTTTCTTTTATTAAAATTATTTTAATCAACCAACTTTGCAATTTTTAGATAGAACTACGTGGCTTTGAGTTTCCCATTGCACCCGGAGATACGTAGTAGCAGGAACTGAACCCGTCAAGTCAAAATAATTTTCAAAATAAATTTTCTCTTTATTAAGATACTCAAACAATATCTCAATAAATAATTTTTCTTCTTCTAAAGTGAAAATAAAAAAAAAATTGTTGTTTAAGGGTTAAATAAATATTTTTCAAAATCAAGATGAATTTGCACAATTAATTTAAGGTAACTGTTTTTAAACAGACGTTGTAGGGTGCTAATACTTTCCCTACACGTAAATGACTCTCGAACTCATTTTTGGTTTCAAAGATTGTATTGTATTTAAGTTTTTCCAAGGTTTTTCTTAAAATAAACTTTGGTGACGACTCCTCTACTATTTTGAAAACATTTTTTGCCATACCATTTCGACCGCCTGGTTGCGACATGATCATAATAAGAAGTTCACGATTTAATGCTTAATTGTATGCGTAGCTTGTTAGTCACCAAAGTTAATTGACTTTGAGGATTATTTAAGCATATAATTGTGTGTTAGAAAATATTCAGAATTGTGTGATACTGTAAAGTAATATGAAATTTGGAATGAACAATTTAGCTCATTAATTATAATGTTAAGAGATCACCCAAAGGTGAATCATTGCCTATAATTAATGACATTAAGGATACATGTAAGCATTCCATAATATGTGTTTGTATTTCCAAAGATGAATTGCATATTAGTTTGAGTGACTAATAGTCTATTAAAACTTGAATGTTTTAGCATCATTATAGATAAATTATGTATTTAGGTACTCTCCAAGGTGAACATAGATGTATAATTGATGTTGGTTGATTGTTTCAATCCATTAAGTTTATTCAAAGGATAAATGTTAAGCGTGTATTAAATATTGCAATCTCTATGAATATGTTTGGCACAATCAATGGCATAGTGAAGTTTAATGGACTGAACTATGATGATTGGGCCAAGCAAGTTCGATTTCAACTAGGTGTTGGGGACTTGGACTTGAACCTATAACGTCCTTGAATTTTATATCTCAAATACGTGTAGTAATCTATAACGAAGGAAGAAAATAAAATAAATTATTTTCATATGTATAACTTAAAGACTTAAATAAAAAGGCAAAACCTACATATCTTTATTTTATCTATGAAACTCAAAAATGTTTACAATTTCAAAAGAAATTTTTTTGAAATCTTTAGATTTGTAAAAATTAGAGTGGAAACAACACTTTATATCGTATACATTTAAATTTAAACCGAAAATAACTGTTGATTAGGAGGGTAATTTTCTATCTAAAACAAAATATAAATTATCATT